AGCTAGAAAGAAACCATTATTTACAGGGCCGTCACTGCCGTACTTGCTTTAGTCAGTGCAACTTCATGAAATTTTCCCGGTAGGAATTAGTATGAGTATCATTATAAGGTGAGCAGGCGTATTTACAGCAAGACAGGTTTAGAAGTCCCTCCTTAGAACCCAGGCAGGTTACCAGATGACTCTCAGATCAAGCATGTAATATACTAGCCCTGTATATCTACACGTCAAACATCACCAGTAACTCCTGGTCTTAATTCCCGTAGTGACATTCCCCCCAACGCCATTTGCTGCATAATACCGTAGCCCGAACTAGATGGTTTTATGCAATGCCCTTCAAAAAGCCAGAGTGCTAGAGAAAGTGCTGCCGGATCTAACCATGACTTAACGATGTCACTATAAAGTGGTTTGCAAGTGAAACATTGAAACACAGCGATGGATGATACTCCTAAATAATGGGCTTCAATACAACGTCTGCTCTGGACGGTCCATTCCACATCTGCGGTCAGGATCATGTCTAACTAGCTGACTACATGTACTATGGTGGAGCTGTGAAAGGCGTTTGCCCCATTTGTCTTTTACATGGATTGTCTATGGGATAAGTTTTCAGGTTCCATTAACCCTAATCACCAATGCACGAACTTAGACCCAAGGTCACACGTAAAGAGTGACATAGACATTTCAAAAGTAGGTTGAACTTATAATTGCACAGGGAACAGTGGATAAGAGGTAAAAGCAACTTCATATATCAGGACCTGCCATAATTCATGACGCATTGACTGAGACCGAAAAGAAAAGGAGAAAAGGAATATGAACAGGAAAGGTGTAAATCAAGCCCAGAAACATAAGACACACTTTTCGCTAACTGTCAAATGGTGGCAAAGCTGTCAACATGTATCTGTCAACATGTATCAAGTGGCGGCAGCCATCTCCTTACACCATAAGACAGATCTGTGTCTAGACAAGATATGCAATGAAACTCGTAGATCGAACGGCGATGAAGAGAAAATAGTATGTGCAATAAGTCGCCGCGACAGATGGTTGTTCTCGAAGATCTAGTACAATCCACGTTAGCTCAGGAGACCATTAGTACAATGACCAGGTCACACGTACTACTTGCGCTTCTCAGCACCATTCTTCTGATCCGTAGAAGAGGAGCCACTCATATCCCAAAGTCGGCTCTTGTAGGCGGGGAAGGAAGTGTGGTTCCACATGTTGACCAGGACACTAAGTGAGATAATGCGTTAGCCTTGGGAAGCAAGGTGAGAAACAAAAACAATAGAGACCAAACTCACCCTTGGGTCCGATCTTTGTAGGCTTCGTCCTCGATCTCCTTTACTTGCACCTTCATGCCGTCTTTGGTGAACGCGATGTTCTTGCGCTCCATCTTCTCGCGCGTGTTCTTGCTGACATCCTGCACGATGCTGTAGACGACGAAGCCGACCACGGCGAGGACGCCAACGAAGACCAGGAGGAGGATGAGAGGGATGAGATTGCGGGCGCCCATGGTGGGGGTTGTTCTGTGTATAGCGAGTGTATCGATTTGAGGGGAGTGTCGGGTTCCTTTAAGGAAACGAAGTCGAAGATCTGGAGGGTCCTGTGGGGAGGGTGGAAATCGAGGAAGGAAACGGCGGAAAAATACACTATATGCTGCCAAGAATAAGTGTGTCGCGTGCGCAAATAGTTGCCGACACTGCTGCCTGGAGTGGATATGTTCCTTGTAAGGCGAGAATGTTCAAAATTCGACAAGAGACAAATGTAAATGCCTGAAACTCAGGGGTTCTCATTCCATTTAACGCTTCCATGATGTTTGATTCGAGGGGAACCGTGGCTGAGCCCCGCAGACCGTGGCTGAGTATGCTGAGTCAAGAGGTTAATTTTAGCCGTTAAGGCTGGCACTGGAGACTAAGGAGAATGCACGATTTGATACCGTCTTTCTGATATTTGCTTTCTTTTATTTAGATATGAAAAAGAAAATATGCACATATAACTCATCCCATCGCATTTATCCTTAGCATGAACTGCGTCAAACAAGATCGGTGGATCTCAATATCATTTGCGTCATTATGATAAAATCCCAAACTAAAGACCAAGCGGTGAACCCTCCATCTGGGGAAGCTCTCTTGATCTCTCACGATACTAGATCTTTCCTTGTAGCTCAATTCAATACCTAGATATTCAATCCGACACCATGTGTGACATTCCCTTCTTTCCGATCTTTCCAATCTGTTTCCAATGCGGCACTGATCAGAATCCGTGTCACTGCAAGGTGGTTGGCCCGACGCTTGGTAAGTCCTTACCTTCTTCAGTTATCGAAATATTGCGTATTGGGCTCTATCTGACTGTTACTTAGGATTCTGCTCAACCATTGTGGCGGCGGTTAGTATAAGTCATACCTTATAGTCTCTCGGGAGAAAGCATATAGACTCTTATGTCTTATCTCTGTTGCACGGGTGCTTATTCCACATCTTTATACAGGTATTCTGCTGGCCTCTTTCAATCTTCTGTGGCTGTGGCTGCACTAAGACCGGAAAAGAGTATGTTTTTTCTCTGTCTTTCCCCTTCTGAACTTCCAGGCTGATCAAAACTAGCATGTTGGGATATCCTGTCAAACTTAACGGGCAGGTTAGCAATGCCATACCATTCTGATGTATCGATAATAGTCTGGAGGCATACATGAGACGATGTATTCCTGCCTATCTGTTTATGCTGGTTTCCAGGAGTTTGGGCTCTGGCGTGACTATATGTACTACAATATCATTTATCGTGCCTGAACTCATGTCAACACTGATAAATGCGTCCCTCTTAGCCCACACCTCTCTACTTGTAAAACAGAACATAACGTTAATTTAAACCATCAAATTGTAGACTTTGCGCATTTTGGCTCTTTACCATGTTGGATTGATAATAGGAAACGCCGATATACTACTCGAGATGTTTTCAAGTTTTTTTAGTTGTTCCTCATCATGATTACCAGGACCAAGATCAACTTGCTTCGGATTATGCCAGAATGGGTTATATGACCTGTCATGCTTTGATAAGCTTTGTTTCCTCCCTTGCCCCCAAGTATAGTTGTGTTGTTTGTAGATAGGATTTGTATTGGATCAAAATGCGAGAAAACAGGCTTGTCAATTAGAGACCATCACTATTAGACATCAAAAGTCCTGAATCAAGTATACAGAGAGTAGAAAGTCCACAACTACACTATACCGAGCCAGCCCTAAGAAGAAGTGGGCTGAGCGGGGTCAGGCAGATATCCAGCAGAGTACTCTTCAGCCTCATCATAGTCCTCAGTCTCCAGTCTCTTCAAGAAACCCTGGTCAATCAAATCGAGCACCTTCATCGGAACCATAAGCTGCGATCCAAACCCGGGCTGCTCAAACCAAGGCGCGATGGGGCCCACCAAAGCGTCAAATTGCTTGGTCACCTCGTACACATGATAGTTGTAAGGGAAGCTGCTTTTCTCCGGCGCAAACAGGTTGGATGGAGGCAGAGATCGTTCAATATACGGCGCACCAAGAGGAGCCATGAAGTTTCCGTATTCAGATCCGAATCGATCGAGCTTCTGGCCCACAGGAAGTGTCATGTTGCCCTGGATAGGAAGCGACTCGGTGTTGATCGTAAAACCACTGTCCCCTGGGTAGATCCAGTATGCCTTGGGGTCGGACGCATTCAGGGTCCATTTCTCCAGGAATTCGTAAGGGCAGAGATCGCCAAATCGGGAGTAGGTCTGGAGTTCGTTGGCGAGAGGGAAATACTTAGGAAAGACTTTGGGACCGAGTCGTGGGTCACCGCAGACAGCAGTGGAGTTTTGGTTGGTTATTCCCTTGCAGGGATCGGGATAGCATCTGTCGGGGTAATCACGCTCCTAGTAAATATTAGCATTGAAGTTCATCTCCATATTGGAAAGAGGGCTGTCACAACTTACCCGGTTTCCCTGGGGTTTATTCGGCCTGACAAATGAAGATGCATCAGCCAGAGTGGCAGCAAGCACAATAATTATGGTAAAGAGACGCATTTCTGTAAAAATAGACAATGATTGGATTTTGGTAACGAAAGACAAAGGAGATCAAACAGGGAATTAGTCTCTAATTTATTATCGAGGAGGCTCTAGATTATTTATTCGGCCATTAAAAGCCATTGCTAGTAGCCTGTCTTGGCTATACATCTAGATTGAACCCTGCGCATACCTGTTCATCGAATTAATTGTTTTCAGCATGCTCTCCTGACTATCGAATCCACTTATTCCCTTTTTGAGAAGAGATTTTCGATAATATGGGGGGTATAGTATGCAGAACTAATTAACAAAAGGTAGATGTACCCACTCAAAGCCACTTGAGCTGAACTCGTGTCAGCTAGCACACGGGATGCATGCAGGTGCGTACAGCTTCATTTTTTGGGGCGGCAAGGAGAACACAATTTCCTTTTCAAAGAGTTGCATCTTTGCAAAAGTCGATCTATTTCCCGGTAGAATAAAGGGTATGTACATGTACATGTAGGACTGTTAACATTCTTCTTAAACAAGTGGGGTCTTAACTTGTTCTTCACTGTGGAAATCCGGAGATGGTTTCCTCGCTCATGCCCCTATCCTTTCAACCAATCGCATCCATAATTTGCTCACTGATCTTGGCAAATTTGACCACTGACCAGATTGTAGTACGTGCCAGAAGCAAAAATGAACGCAGCAAATAATAATTGGCGACAGCCTTGCATTGCATATGCAGGAGCTGGTAGTGTGCATATTAGGAAAAACTGAGATCTGATCCTCAGCCCTTACCCAGCCTCCTCGCTCAGGTTGGTGAGCATCATTCCTTAGCCCAAATAAGCATCTCGGAAGAACTGGTGTCACCTCGGGCGGAGCGGGTGATCATCAATGCAAGTAACGCTAGGTCGAAGTCTGTACAGTATATCCAAAGATAGGTACCACGTACATCGGTATCTCCGATATATGTGATAAATAGAGTTCTTATTTGATTTTTTATTACAAAGATCAAGAAGCGAGCTCAGTGCCCTGTGTCCAAGTCAAACTTAGAGTCGCCCAAACCCCAAGTTGCCATTTACACCCCAAGGTGCTTGACTCGCAAATCCTTCAACACCGAGCGTTATGAAAGCCCCTTCCAGTTCAGAACAACAATCGACATCCTCGGCCGACCCCGATTCTTGCTTTCAGGAGCCCAATCCTCCAAAGTACACACTTCCTCAAAGTTATTCTTACTCATAACTTTCGAACTGCCTGTATTCCCAACCAGATAGCTAGCTTTCAGAATATGGAGATTCATCCGAGGAATAGCCCAGTCCCGAATGAGAGTCCGGACAGCAAGTGTCATAATTCCCTGACCATGATATTTAGGCGAAAGATAGTCTGTCAACATCGTTAGCTATGTCACAGAAAAGTAGTCATTGGGTTAAGAACATACTTCCTAATCCCCAGACAATATCCTTGTTTCCAGCAGGTATCTCATTGTTTCTCGCCTGTGCCTCTTCCCTTGCCGAGCTTCCATATTCCAGTTCATAGAAGGCATACCGGGTGATACTGATAGAGCCGATGAAAACATCCTTGAGTGCTGCGCCAGTCTTGAGGTCGTATTCGGTGACTTCACGGATGCATCTGAAGGCGCAAACATCGAAGAATTTTGGAGGGCCATCTTGGTCACTGGAATCATTGCTTTGCGTTTGATTCTTTGATTGCTCGTATTCTTGTTGCAGTTTAGTTCGGATGGCTTCGTTTTCTTTGCACTGCATGTTGATCCAGTCCACGGCGTGCTCGGGCAGAAATGGGTAGGGTGGTCCTTCTAGCCATGGATAGACAAGTGGATCATTGAGAATCTCAGTCATTTCTTTTGATGTCTCTTCGATGTCGTGCGGACGGTCCATCGTGATGATAATATGGGAACATGGTGCTGGAAGCCGGAGATAGGGCTCCTTGGTGAGCGGGTTAAAGTAGACGGGCATTTTGGCGAGCAATGTCCAGAACACCTGGAAAATTAAGAATTGCAAATAACTGAATCTTGGATTCTTCTATTCTGTTTAAATGTTGAGCATAGCCACGCCTTTTCGCTATCTTACTCTGAGTCATGGCCGAGGGTGCCCAGGTGCTAACCAATTGAGGAAAAGTGCGATGTTACCTTACAAATTATTTCATCTTACCTCTAGATTAGCCTGAAGACTCATAACCTATACTTTGGCCCCGATACTTCACCTTATACGCGCCCATGTAAGAAAAGTTTACGGGGCCGAACCCAGGTGAAGTAACTCGGAACAGCAGCCAAAGCGTGACTAGAAACGACATCGCCTTCGCGCTCTCTCAATGCCTTCATCTCCAGCTCGTAAAATTTCCAAGACCGCAATACCCACAGACTCACCGAACCAAGGATGAACATGCACGCCACATACACCTGGGTACTTAAGTACCCAGAGGTAGCAACAAGACTGAGAGCGATAGGCTCAGCAACGGTAGTAGGAATAACCAGAGCAAGACAAATCAAAGCAAAAGTCGAAGGCAATCGATTCAAACCAACCACTTCGGCCATGACAGGCGTGATAGTACCCCAGAACGTGCCACAGACAGTGCCGACCAAAACCGCAAAGACGAGCAACAGGGCATAAGACTGCGCCGGAATCCAAATAGCAAAGCAAAGCAATCCACAGAGCGCAGTCATCATCATTGAGATGGTGATCCGCCCGAATGTATCACTGGCATGTCCCACAATCGGCCTACCAATGACTAGACCCAAGTTCATGATAGCACCCGCGACAGAACCCTGCTGCGGATTGAGTCCAATAGAGGAGGCATAGTTGGGTAGCGAGTACCAGAGAGCAATGTATCCAAACTCAGTAGCAACGCCCCAAAGGATCAAGAGGAAGACCTCGAAGTGGCTAAGCTCGCGGTAATTGACGGTTCGCTGTGGCGTGGCGGGGCGGGCTTCTTTCCGTTCTTTCATTAGGAGTGAGGAGAAGGTGTTAGCGCCCAAGGCGCAGAATGCCAGAATTCGATAAGTTGCGTCTACGCCTAGTGTTTCGATGGCACGCCCGGCTCCTAGGTTGTAGATGAGACCGCCAACGCCGGAACCAGAAGCGGCAATGCCAATTGCGAGGCTTCGCTTTGTTGAGAACCAGGGCGGTAAGACTGCCATGCTGGTTAGGTATAGGAAGCCCATTCCAATACCGAAGCAGACGCCCTGTGTTAGGAAGAGGTGCCAGATCTTGGTGGCATACGATGCACCGAAGAGGGCGGCGAAGACTAGTGCTGTGCCGAGGAGCTGTGTGAAGGTTGTTCCGGTGGTTTTGTATGTCTTTGTTACCAATGGACCGATAATTAGGCAGGTTGAAATCGATAGACCGCCGATGAATGCATAGTCCAGATGGGTTGCGCCGGGAAATGTGGAATGTAGGAGGAAGTGGTTTAGTATCACTCCCCAAGCGCCGTTCACGCCCCAGGTGTGTACTGTTATCATGAATGCGCAAAATGTGCATACCCAACCATATCCGCCGTTTGGAGGTATGTCGTCGAATGCATCGGTACCGTTGATATTCGATGGGACGATGTTTTCGGTATCCGAGGGCGCAGAGTGCTGTGTATCCTGGGGTGAAACTCTTAGCTGCAGTTCCATGCCGTCCATAACGACGTTTCAAATGTGTCTCAGCAGTCAAGTGTAGGGTGTCTGTTCAAGTGTGAGAGATATCAGGTCAATTGAAGAGGGGCTCCCCGCAAGGTTCCTCGGAAACAATAACCTCTTCAGGCAGGAGGGCTGGAACACAATGCCAACTCACAAGGCTTCCAAGGTTAGGGCAAAATACTTAGCAGAAGCAAAGTGCATGCAATGCTAAAGTGACGCACTATACGGATTGAGGTAATGAGAATACTTCATGACAATCTATTATACATTTCAATGCTCCTATCCTGGAAATCATCGCGCTTGGGTATATGAATGCTAATGTACCGGAACCCGACTAGTCAATTGCTCCAGACGACCTGCCAAGGCCCGATGTTTGCGCATGACCTCCTCCCATTCGTAGGCCACGTCCCCCTCCGCATCGCCATCCCCGCTCAGCTCAGTCAGAATCATGCCAAAGTCACCACCGAGACGACCGAGACTTGCAGCACAGTACAAGAGCTGGGTGAGAAGGCTTTCTCTCGAGCTCCGATCTCGGACATTAGGAAGATATGTGCGCATCGTATCCGTGAGCAATTGGACAAGATGCATTGGGAATGTTGCAAGAGCGGGAGGTAGACGTTGCAAAGGATCATCCGAATGGGCAGGCTTCGACTTGGCTTTAGCGTCTGCGCCTCGTAAGCCCGAGCTGGCAAGCTCAGATTCAGATTGTTCAGACCCGAAGATGTTCTTATATAATGAGACAATGGCGAAGCTCTGCTCTCGGAAAATCTCGATGTATCGTTTCAGATAGCGATCAGTTTGCTGGCCAGCAGACCACGTAGTCGTGTCTGATTTGTCCTTTCCACTGATGCGGCGTTGGGTTTCTTGATCAGCGAGTTCGCGAAGAGGGTCCAAAGCTTCAAGAGTCGACACCAAATGCGCCAATCTGCAGACCAAGAAGATGGCTCCCAGAGCACCTTCTCCTGTTCCCGCAGCTCCGTCGCTTTGGAGCATCTCCAAATCCGGGGCTACTCGACGCAGCCAGCCCACAGTTCGCATACCAGCTGCTAGCCGTAGGTTCTGAGCGCGAAGCCCCGTGATCAGATTACTTGTCATGTCCTTCATGGCATCCTCTGCTTGAGACGCCACATCTTGAATCAATGGGGATTCGGGGTATAGTGTTTGTAATCGCTTGATATGTGCATGCAGGTCGAGCGCCGAGGAGTAGGTTGTGGAGGAGGCACCGGTACCGGAGTTGACTGAGGCGGCGGACACGGCTGTCGACAGCAGACTTGGTAATTCTAAGATGTCGGAGAGTCGATCGACATTGCGAGACAGCTGCATGGCCTTCTTTCGTCGTTCCAGAGCTGCATTGTCTGTGATCTTGCTGTACTTGGTGGAGAACCCAACAGCTTCCTCGTCAAGTTTAGGGATGGCATCGCGGAGCTGTTGCGCCTCGCGGGTCAACTGTGGAACGGACGTAGAGAGCGTGGACAAATTATCGGCGGAGGTGACAAAAGCCCGGTGCGAACGATTGGATAAAGCCTGGAGGGAAAGGAGGGTCGAATGGGAGGATTGGGCCAGCGATGGGGGTTCGGTATTCTGGAGGGCTTCGAGCGATAGGGTGGACAGTCGATTGAGGTATTTATCAGTAGTCCCATCGGTCGAGAGAGCCGGACTTAAGTGAGGAGCCAGCAACTCCAGCAAATCGGCCATGGTTGATGCTATTCGGAAGTTGCGTAAAAGAGGCGCGCTGAATGGACGGCGGTTGGTCCGTGCGGGTCTGTACCTTCTGGACTCAACTTTTTCCCATTTCGATTTGTTCTTCTGTTTCAACCTCTTGTTTCTCTTGTTCTTGCTTTATTGTCAGACCGCGATTCAAGTCCTGCGTTCTTTCTCGTTGTTCTAGAGTGGTGATATCTCTAGCCCCTCCCCCGCATCCCCATTACAAGCCCCATTCCCGTCTACCATGGGGAAGCCACGGGTAAGTCTAGATGTTTGATGGACTTGCTGGCCTATACTGACCTGAGCCTGGTAGATGATCATTTTGGTGCGCCATGCACAGTCAGAAGGCAACAAGAACCGAGATATCCACCAGACTATTCCAGACCATCGGGTAAAGCTCACGACTGAGGGCCACCGACAAGCACAAGAGGCAGGCCAGCGACTCCGAGACCTCCTCCATCCTGATGATACCCTTCACTTCTTTACTTCTCCCTATCGTCGGACAAGAGAGACTACCGAAGGGATTCTTGAATCCCTAACATCCGACAAACCCTCTCCATCACCGTTCCCCAGACATACAATCAAAGTCTATGAAGAACCCCGACTGCGGGAACAAGACTTTGGGAACTTCCAACCATGCTCTACAGAAATGGAGCGCATGTGGATGGAGCGGGCAGACTATGGCCATTTCTTCTACCGGATCCCCAACGGCGAGTCAGCGGCGGACGCCTACGACCGAGTAAGTGGGTTCAACGAGTCACTCTGGCGTCTCTTTGGTGAAGACGACTTTGCCAGTGTGTGCGTTCTCGTCACTCACGGTCTCATGGCACGAGTATTCCTGATGAAATGGTACCACTGGAGCGTGGAGTACTTTGAGGACCTTCGCAACATCAACCACTGCGAGTTTGTAGTATTGACCCACAACCCAGAAAACGGCAAATATACTCTACAGAACAAGTTACGAACATGGTCGGATTTGAAGAAGGACAGAGAACGGGAAAATGGAGCTAAAGGACAGAACCATACGCTCGCTCCGCTGCCAGACCACATCCCAATTCGACGAAAATGGGGCGGCTGTCCGGACGGCTGTACTCACGGCATCTCTGCAGATGGGAAACAACTATTGCGAGCTAATCTGTTGAATTCTATGCGGCACGGCACTGATCATTCTCATCCAAAGCATCTCGATGAACATGGCCATAGCTTTGGCTCTAAGCTCCACAAATCAGTGTCAATCGACGAGGTTGTCTCATCTTCAGAGGACAGCACTACTCAAAACGATATCACTCGAAAATCTAGCACCAGACACACCTCCAATCCGCGACCAGGGAGTGACGACGGTACCGGAGATAACACGAAGCATTACGACTCAAGCTCAGAGGCCCTGCCAGCCCAGCCGTTGCACCCAAAGCGACACAATCAACATGGACTGAATCGAAATAGCGAGGATCATCTTTTCCATCCACCACCAGCCTCGTCTTCATCCTCCGCGCATTTGAAATATGCCCTGCTCCACCTCGGTGGCCGTGACGGCGGTGGCTCAATGAGCGGAGCAAATAGCCTGGCTCCGTCCGACGACGAAGGCGATGATCATGACCACCATCACCGCCATTATGTGTCAAGCTCTTCCAA